CTCATACAGATTAAACTTTTTTTTCTTTCTTTTTTTTCTTTTTTTAAGAAAAAAACAATCTTTATGCAGTTCATTATGTACAATCATGATTAAGCCTCATGCATTTTTATTAGGCTTCATTTAACTTTTTGATGATGCAAATATTATGTGTTTTTTTTCTCCTGAAATATCCAGTCTGAGCCTTATTTTATTTCCATGAAAGATTATTTGTAACATCATAAATACAGTTTGAGATTTATTATTTTTGTATGTGAAATATATATTTTATTTGCATGTCACATCATTTGTAGTATGTACATTTGTAGATAAACAAAAATAAATGCACAGAAGCAACTGCCTTTCCTTCCATATATTGGAAATGTGAAAATATGTGACCCCTTAAGCCATAAAGGACAGAAAAATCCAAAGCTTTATGAGTGGCTAGGACAGGATTTGCATTTTTTAAAACTTTTGTTCAGCTCAAATCACTGTTTTGGTTATTTCTTACATATATTATTTTTAAAAACAAAATGGCAAGTTTAACCCAGGGTCCTCAGACATCCATTAAGTTGCCTTATTTTGTTATTTATGAATAACCTTGATTTTTTCAGTTTCATGTTACAATATTGTTCAAAATTATTGACACTGCTCCCATTTCACGCTGTTGGGTATTCTATACTCCTTTCCCTTTTTTCTGTGTTACAGTATACTGCAAGCTTTGAAATGTTCATGTTATTTCTTCTTTGGGGAAATCAAACTGCAAAAAAATATGGGGGGAAATTTCTTTGCAATCAGGAATAACATTCATGCACATTTAATAGGTAAATTTTTCTTGCTTTATGAATAAATAAATAAATTTTAATATCAAGGTATGTTTATCAGTAGTGTGCAGAGGGGGAGGGTGAAGGGGTGGTGACCCCGAGCATCCGAATGGGGGAGGAGACATCCAATCAGAGAGGGAAATGTTTTTATAATTCATATTTGAATCAAATAGAGTGTTTATTTCATTTTCATCAGTGTTTACATTTTCAAAATATCTTTGCTCATAATATTTCTCAGTACTAGCTCTTTATACTTGAGTCTTAGGCCCGTACTTTAAAAACCTTTCGCCAGGGCTGGCGAAGGGTTTCGCCGGGCGATCCGGAATTTCGTACTTTTAAAATCATGCCTGGCGAACGTTCGCCAGGGCTGGCGAAAGATCATATTGGAACAGCCTGGCGAAGAGAGCTGTTTGAATACCATTTTCTTGCT